GACATTTTCTACTCCTTCCCCAGGGCAAAGACATGCATAATAGAAAAGGACAGAGCCAGCAGCTGTCAGAAGACACCTATAACCTAATCACACCCATTCTTTTCAACCATGTTCCCAGTTTTCCTATTGTTAATGGCTCTTCCTTTTTGACGGTTAGACCAGGTGTATTTCTATTTTTTTGAATACTTTCAAATTTGAGTTTTCATGTCATTTTAATGTGCCTGTTATCATGTGACAAAGCCATGTTTACTTCCAAGCAATCCTGTGGCTGCAGGGCCTTTAACTGCCATCCCCCTAGTCCCACCCCTAGTCCTGGGTTGGGCCTGGGGTTGGGCCTGGAGGTGAGGTGGGAGGAGCTAGGGCTTAGGTCACAGTGAATGAAACTGGCAGTTTCCTCAGATTTCCTGGAGGGCGTGGCATGATCTTAAGGATTATTTGTTAATGCCCTGCACTGTGTATTTCTTTCTCTCTTTTACTCTTTTTTAAAATTGCAAAATATATACGTAATTCTAATATCCTATATAGCAAGGATCTGAAAACATGGGCAATTTTTTAAAATAAGCCAATTAAAAAATAAACCAAACACATCACTAACTGCCACCCAGATTTAGAACATCAGTAATTAGACACACACACACACACACACACACACACACACACACACGAAACCTGGCTGCTGTTATCTACCCCACCACTGGGCATCTGGGCATAGCCACTTTTGGGAGGTCCAACTATTCCTTCCCTTTCGTCTGCACGTTTACCACCTGTGTGTACCCAAACAATATTGAGCAACAGGCTCCTTAACCACTTTGTCTCAGTTTTATTGTCCCTCAGTAACTTTCCCCGAGGTGTAATCGTGAGGGCTCATGGAGTCAGTGTATGTGTGGTGCTGCTCTCAGCACCTGGCCCCCAAGCGCTAGGTAAGCACTGGCTGTTGTCACTCTCATGCTCACGTCAGCCTTTCTACACCCCTCATGTAAAGAATCGTGTAAATATTTTACTATAACTTTTTTCTTTAGTTCAGCATTATAGTTCTTTCTTGTTTGTGATCAGTATTATATCATATGAAAATGCTGCATTTTATGTACCCATTGAAACTGAGGGAGATCTTGGATTGTTTCCAGCTAACTTTGATGACCCTGCCACTGGGAGCTCCTGGTACCCATGCGCCAGAGTTCTCAGAGCTGCAGTTCTCAGAGTGTGGGCTGGGTCCTGAGTCCCTATCAAGCACTCCATGAGGTAAAGCTGAGACATTATGTGCCTTTCATACTCTCAGTGCACTGTGGATTTTTCCAGAGGCCATGTGATGTGTAATGCCTTCACTCTGGTGCTAACTAGATAGATGATTGTATATGCTTATAAATTTAAATCCTCTCAGTTTTAATTTCTAATACAGTAAATATTGATAGTTTTAGAGATGCTGTGTTTGGGCTTTTTTTCCTTTGTTTTATTTGAATAAGTTAGTGAAAATACAGGGACTTTCCACAAAGAGCCTAAAGAGACCAGATTCTGACTGACTAACCCCATGTGAGTTAGTGACTAATGCCTACGCAAGAGACTTTTTCATTCATGTATTAGTTTTCTAGTGCTTCTATTTTATATTGATCAAGCAGCTCCATTGGTAAGAAAAAGGAAGAACATTCCTGTTCTTGTTATTACTATTCTGATATGAGGGTGGGCTTTTAGATAGGTCCTAGACAATAAATGGAAGTCAGGAATTCATGAGGTTATGAAAGGAAAGTGTTTAAGCTACTTTTAAAGAGTCAACTTTGAGAAAACTGTTACCTTTATTCACCAGCAAGCATTCAATTCTCACTTAGTACAAGGCTTTGCTGGGGCTAAAGAAATAATGGAAGAGGTTTTGTTTTATGGTTCTTGGTTCTTGGGGTTCCCCCCCCCCTTTTTTTTTTCTTAGTTCTGTTGCTGGGTAACAAATTACTGCCAAAACACATGGTGGAAGAGCCAGGTATTGTGCTGAGTCTCGTGCCCTGGTGTGTTGGTCCTGTCTCGGATCTCACCAGCCTGAGATGCAGTTCTGCTAACCCAAAAATATTTTCCTAACCCAAAATCACAAAGATTTTTGCCTACATTTTTTTAAGTCTGTAGTTTTAGTTTTTTACATTGAGATCTGTGATCCATTTAGAGTTAATTTTTGTATATGGTGTGGATAATTTTTGTATATGGTATCTATGCTTTATTTTTGTCACACAGACCACCAATTTTTTCTAGCACCATTTGTTGAAAAGACCCTATTCTCCTCAACTGACTTGCCTTGACAACTTTTTCAAAAATCACTTGTCCATCTCTGTCTGAATCAATTTCCAGTCTCTCATTTCTGTTCAGTTGATCTATATGCTTTTTCTTTTACCAACACCAAGCTTACGCTCATGTTGTAGCAAATGTTGAAATCAGGCATTGTAAAAACATTTTTCTTTCATAGAATTCTTTAAGTTATTCTCTCTTAAAGTGAACTTGTCAGTTTCTGCCTACCCGCCTTCCGCCGCCCCAAAAAAATGCATGCTGAGGTTTTGGTTGAGTCCACACATCAATTTGGAGAGAATTGACATCTTAATGTTGAGTCTTTCAAAATTTACAAACATGGCACATCTCTCCAGTTACTTAGGTTTTGAATATTTTTGTACATGTTTTACAGTCTCCAGTGAAGAGGTTTTTCATCTAACCTTTTTTTCCTAGTTTAACTCGTACATTAGTTAAGGCAAGAAATATAACAGCGAAAATATAAAGCATACAGATAAGTTCCTATTGATAGATGACATAAAATATCCAAAGGAATTTACCCCAAAAGTCTCAGAACTAGTGAATGGTTCAGCAAGGCTATGGGGCACAAGATCAACACACAAAAATGTTTTTTTAAATTTCTACATATAAGCAATAAATATGGAAACAGTAAAAAAGCAATATGAACATTAACAAGCCAGAGAAGATATAAAAGTCCTGTTTAAGAGTCTTTTTTTTATTTATACTTTATTTAGGCCTTGTTATTTCAGTAGCTATCAAGAGAAGATTGTTAGTTCAACTGTGCATGACACTGTCTTTTTGTAACGATGCTGTCTTAGTCTGTGCAGGCCACAGTAGCAGAAATACCATGGGTTAGGTGGCTTAAGTAGCAGTGATTTCTCACAGTTCTTCTCAGGAGGCTGAGAAGTCCAAGATCGAGGTGCTGAAGGAATCTGTATCTGGGAGGCTGCCTTCTTACTAGGAAAGACCAGCAGTTCTAGCCAAAGGACATGAAGCCATCCACTCAAAAAATACGCTCTTTAAGTTTGTATGGCAGCACATTCACGGTAGCTGCAGAGATTATAGAAGAGGGAGAAGCCCAATAGCCAGTTAGGCATGTGGTGGAGGCTTGGGGTGCCTTGGAGAAGCGAAATTCTCATCCTGGAGTTAAGGGCGCTGGCAGACCATTGGGAATGAGAACAGCCCCGCAGCACCCCAGTGCCGAGGAGAAAAATGGTGTTTGCTAACTGTGATCTGTACTATAATGGGGAAAGTGTGCACACGCATGTGTGTGTCCCCTTCAACAAAATGCTCTTTCAGATCTTCCAGAAGTTGTTCATTTTAAAATAGAAAGGTTGATTCCTCACAAAAAGAAACTTACCACTGTTCTTGCCCTTTGGGCCTGCTTGAGATGAGAAGGGAAAGAAAAAAATCTGTAAATAGCTGTTCCTGGCATTCTGCCTTTTTTTTTTTTTTTTTAAAGCCTGCAGTTCAACTGCAGCCCTCTACATTCCTGATGGTTTTCCTCCATCAGTGTTTACAAGGTCAACCTGCCGCATACATGTGGCCATAGACCCTACACTTCTGTGAAAATGTCAAGCCTGACATGACTGTCTCCCACTGACCCTAATATAAGGTAACCTGTGGCGCCTCCAGAGTGAGTTCAAAGTGAAACCTCCAAGAAAGAAACAGCCTTTGTATATGGCATGATTAATTTTCCAAATTCTACTTTTTTTAAAGATTTATTTATTTATGCACACAAGAACTGGGGTTCAGGCCACAGATGCAGGGGGTGAGAGGATTCACCAGAGACAGAGTGGGGAGCAGAACAGGCCAACTAACAAAGTATACTGCTGAGGGGAGCAACGGGCAGGCCAGAAGAGATCTGCTGAGCCATGTGGGTCACCTCCCTGGCCGGGGATTGACCTTGTGCTACAGTGGCTGCAGCTAATCTCATAGTGCTGCACTTTAATCTGTTGTGTCACCAGGGAGGGCCCTATGCTGCTTTTTTATGAAACTTTTTCATGCCTTTTAAAGGAATCAGTTCACTTTACTGTATTTCTAGCTAACTCTATTTAGTAACATTTAATGCTCTCTAAGCTCTTTATGAGTATGACTCCATTTGATAGTTCGACACTTCCTAAAACAGGACTTTGAATGATTCTAAAGGTGCCCTGCCAGCTGTTGCTCATGTGTATAGACTTCAGCTGATGAAGTCATTCCAAAGACTAGTCATTCCAGCACAGAAACCCCAGTTAGGATTGTCTTTGTACCAAAAGTCTGGTCATATAAACATATGAAGGAATGATGGAATGTTAGGCTTATTTTCAGTAGTGAAAAATGTTTTGTCATATGCCTCTTTTTGTATGATTTGCTGTTTCAAAGACTGTTTCAAGTACATTGCGCCTGCTTTCTCAGAAGCAAAACTGACCTCGGAACTTAATCTTCCGTCCCATCCCTCCCTCGTGGCCTGCAACCGGCCAGTTGCCATGTGTGGGAAGGAAGAACCAGACTGGTGAGAGGCCGCACCCAGAGTCAAGTAGCAGCAGTGTTCTGAAAAAACAGTCTGAAGTTGAGTCTTGGGGTTGAGCCTAGAGAAACTGCATTTTTAATTTCTTTAATTTTTAAAAATGCACATGCTCTGACTCCTTTTACTTTCTCTACCCATTTTTGCAGAAGCAAAATGATACATTACCAGTAGGTAATAGGTATGCCAGGTCGGGGTCCCTCAACTGAGACTAAGCATTTCTCCTTCGTGACAGGGTGAATCCGTGAAGTACTTCCTGGACAACTTGGACCGGATAGGCCAACTGGTGAGTACAGACTCCCCACCCCGAGACGAGAGGCTGAGGCCAGGATTAGAAGCCACTGTGTGCAGCCCACTGCGATGCCAGCAATGAGGACTTCCACTGAGCTAGCACCCCAGGAGTTGTGTCGGGTGACTGTGAGTTGTGTCACAATGGCAGGCTTCCACTCAGATCTGTAGACTGGGGGAAAACAAATGCGGGTGGTGAGGATGCCCTCATTCAAATGGAGGAAATTCTCAAGTTCTTATTTGCTTATAGACCTTTAGTTACCACCAAACTAGGAATAAAGCAGTGTAGTAACTCTTTGCTTGAGTTCCATAAAGAGATAGGAGTTCTTAAACCATTATTTCCTTGAACCTTTTATTGTGGGAAACTCCACCATCCAGAAAAATAGATACTATAATGAAACCCTAGTTCCCACAATTATCATTCATGCTCAGTCTGGTTTCACTGCTCCACCCCACCCCCAGGAATGAACCCATCATCCTGTCACTTCATCAATAAGACTCCAAAAATCATAACTACATTACCATTATTGTTCCTCAAAATTAGCAGTGATTCCTTAATGCCAGCTACTATTCTGCCAGTTTTGAGATTTTCCCACGTGTCTCAATATTTTCTTGTGAATGCTGCTCATTTTGACAGTTTGATTTGTGTAAGACCTGTGCATCGCAATTGGTACTTAAATTTCCCTCAATCTATAGCTATCTCCCTCTTTTTTTTCTTTTGACTTATTTATTGGAGTAGTTGGATTATTTCTTTGCTATGTTATTTCTCAGGTCTGAGTTTTGCTAATCTGTCCTGGGGTGTTAATAGCTGATTCTCCATCCCTGTGTATGGCCTCCATCCCCTGCATGGCCTAGCAGTCAGACCTGTTGAGCCCAGTCCTCCCTGTTCAGCTTTGACAAGACTGCTGCTTGAGGACTTGCATGCTGTGACCAGAGGAGCGTGTGAATGGTGCAGTCATTGGTCTGAGTGCTACTGCAGTTGCCTATGTGTGGCTCAGGACTCAGAGCTTTCAGAGAGCAGCACATTTTGTATATTACAGACTAAGCTCAGCTAGCATCACAATATCTATGTTAGGCTGGTTCATGGTAGACTTTGGGTGTGTGTTCAGAAAGGTCACCGTGGTCCCTGTACAAAAAAGTCACTTTCCTCTAGAGAAGAAGAGAGATGAGAGCTTGGATTGGACCCCGAACCCCCCCCCCCCCAAGCAGTAAGGATTCTCTTCCTCAGAGAGATGAGTCTATGTTCATTTTGAAAAGTAGCAGTCTGTATGTATAATTGAATACATGGTAGTTGCTTTTGGCATTCAGCTCAACTTCTCACAAAAGGCAGTCTGACTCTTCCCTTCCACCCTATCTTTTTGTTCTTATTTTCTCCTAAATTTCACCCATGTCCCGTATTTTTACAGAATTACTTCCCTAGTAAGCAAGACATCCTACTAGCAAGGAAAGCCACCAAGGGAATTGTGGAACATGACTTCGTTATTAAAAAGATCCCTTTTAAGATGGTGGATGTGGGCGGCCAGCGATCTCAGCGCCAGAAGTGGTTCCAGTGCTTTGATGGAATCACCTCAATCCTATTCATGGTCTCCTCCAGCGAGTATGACCAGGTCCTCATGGAGGACAGACGTACCAACCGGCTGGTGGAGTCTATGAACATCTTTGAAACAATAGTCAACAACAAGCTGTTCTTCAATGTCTCCATCATTCTGTTCCTCAACAAGATGGACCTCCTGGTGGAGAAGGTGAAGACTGTCAGCATCAAGAAGCACTTCCCAGATTTCAAGGGTGACCCTCACAGGCTGGAGGACGTTCAGCGATACTTGGTCCAGTGTTTCGACCGGAAGAGACGGAATCGCAGCAAGCCTCTCTTCCACCACTTCACCACCGCCATAGACACGGAGAACATCCGCTTCGTGTTCCATGCTGTGAAGGACACCATCCTGCAGGAGAATCTGAAGGATATTATGTTGCAGTAAAAGAGGCTGCCCCTTACTGTTGTGGTCCTTTCACGGCCCTCAAGGCCCTTGGTCAGATATCCCTGGCGTGTACTTGCCACCAGGCCTTGCAGGGGTGTTCTCAAATGGGTGCCCTGCAACACCTGGCTCGGGAATGCTGTCAAGCCAGCCACGCCAAAGTGCTCCCGGCAAAAGGACAAGGAAACTTTGAAGTTAGCTACTGAATCCTGGGGACTAGTGAAACTACTGAAAATCCAAGGGATCGCTCCGGTATTCACTTGTAATACCTAATAACATAGCTTTCTTTCTTTTTGCAGAAACTTTATTCTTTTCTGACACCATTTAATCAAGGATTGTGTGTGTGTGCACGCGCACGCTGTCTTTAATGACAAAAACCAACCAGCCTTGCAGATGGCTTTTCTCTCTAACTTGCAAGTCTTCAGTGAGACACTAACCTGAGAACTTTGACTGTAGTTTTTAGGAAATGAAATGCAAGCTGATGCTACTGAACTCAGTGCCCGAATCCGGCCTGAGCCTCAGCCTGGGGTCTCAGTGCCACCTCCCAAAGTGAACACGTTGCCTTTTAAAGCTCTTTGTGCCAATTTCCTGAGAGGCCCTGGCCCAAGGCATTTTAGGTTTAGCTAAGGGCCCCCAGCTTCAGCTGGTGAAGTTGTGAGCTCTGAGGGTGTGGACCTGCCTTAAGCTCCTACTACCTGTGCCCTCTACCTGCCTTGTCAGATTGCCCAGGGTGGAAATGTGGGAAGGGCACTGACAGTGAATGTTCCTCTACTACAGGCACACAGTGGGGCTGTCCATACCACACACCCCGCCCCCACCCATGGCAGACATACAAGCCAACTGGCCTTGCAGGGGACCGTCCTGCCTTACGATTCATCTTCTGATGCCCAAGTGGGCTGCATGAGTATTTCCTTATTTTGGAAATAGCAGCGCGCACTCTATTCCTCTCAGGGGCCTCTGAAAGCTGGCAAGATTACTGGCAGAGCTTTTGTTAATGCCGCAGCTGCTTGGGGAGTCCCAACAGCTGACCTTTCAGCAAGTTCACAGACTGGAGAAATCTCAGTTTCTTTAAACTGCCACTACACCTGATGCCTTCGGACAGCTGGTCCCTGTCGTCAGTCCTCCCTTTAATCTTGATTCATATTGTAGCCTCCTGCTTCTGTTGTACACACATAACAAGTAAATGCTGTCAGACATAGCCCTCATGGCAGGGAGACTGCAGGAGGCTGTGATGCTGATGTGTATGGTCCGTGTTACACTCAGTTATCTTGTCCAGTTACCTGCCAGATCCTTCCTTGTGTTTAAAAATACATTGCATTCCAAACTGCCCCTTATTGTGTATTCCTGTGCTAAAAAAGTCTGTCCACCGTGTTTAGGACTTTCTCTAGTATTTAAAAGGAAACAAAATCTCCCTCTGTAGCTGGCACCAGAATGTTACTGTGGTTGACAACAGTCCAAGGGCCTGCCAACCCCCAGGCACACTTCTCGCCATCTCTCAGTTCATTTTCAGCAAGCCAGATAAGCATAGATCTTGTGGCAGATGGGGCTGGGGGGAGAGGGAAGCCCTGCTTCTGAGTCACCCTTATTATCACACTGTGCTTAATGAGGAGACAACATGCAGTTCTCTCTCTTTCGGTGCTCAAGACTTTGTCATGTCTGCTGGAAAGAAGTTGGTGTTTCTGTCCTGCTTCCTGTCGCTCTTCATAAACTGAAAGGACGTGACCCACAATTGGTGCCATGACCACTGTTTAAAGGGGAAACGACACTCTCAGTAGGCTCCATTGGGGCGGCCTAATTCACAGCTCCCCTCTGGCATGGAACAGCGCTGGCCCCAGACCGGGGCCTCTTCTCCTGGTCAGTTTCTCTCATATACATTTGTGAGAATTTAAGGCTGTTCCTTACCAACTAGAGGAAGAAACGCAGAGTAACAGAGTGTATTACTTACTCTGTGATAGGGATCTTCAGTGTTCCACCACAAAGGTGGAAATCCCAGTGAGGTTGTTTGGACTGCCTCCCTGATGTGTCTGCAGCAAGCAAGAGCTTTCCCCTTTAACCTGTCCGATTTACTTGCTGTCCAAGCCGAAGCACATATGTAGAGAGATCGTGACTGTTGGATGACTGGGCAGGGACAGAGTGACTGACACGTAGCCCCTGGCCCCGCTCCCCTCCTGGGCCTGGGCCTCCTGCTCACCAGATCTTTAAAGGTGTCGGGCCCGAGTTCTGTGACCCTTGACTCAGAGAAGATGCCCATTTGCAAGGCTAAACTAAAACCATTTACAACTTTTCTACACAGTTTGTAGTCAGTATCTACAAAACCTTAGGCTTTTGTATTTTTTATTTTAATTTCACTGTTATCTTTGTTTTTTTTCATCCACATGTTGGAGAAGCAGGAGATAGAGGGGCCTAGTCTATCAATATTACTGCAAAAATGTAGTAAACTTCCTCAGTATACAGTTTCCTCATAGTTATACTGTTTACACATGACAACACATGTAGGTTTTTTTACTGAATTTTTTTTTAATCTTCTCCCTGTAGAGAAATTGTTTCAAAGATTTCAAGTTATATAGCTTTGTAATTTATAGAGACCTCTAGAATTCTTCTCTTGTAATTTTTTTTAACTACTTCTTACTCCAAGATCAAAAAATAATCTTGAAACAAGATGACTTACTTGGGGGGTCCTAGGAACCTCTGATTTGGTGTTGCAGATAAAGGCAGCATGAGGAAAAGCCCAGAGACTGCTCATGGTTTACACTCTGCGCTGTAGTGGCCTTGGTGAGGGGGATCTGATTTGATGGTCTGGCTGCCTTCAGTCTCTTGACATTCATTCAGATAAATCCCCAGTCTTTCTTTGTTTCATGTAAATAGCACTCCACATTCAAAACCAACATTAATTTTTTTTTTGTCCCCAAAATTCAGATCCAATAACTCTAATCTTAATTTTACCTGAGGGTTTATGCTGTGTTAATCACAGCTTTTATTTCCACACATGCTACACAGAGCCTGACACACAAGAGTGAAAGTCTCTGGAATACAACTTAAGAACAGGTGATAGAGGCATACACACATAAAGACACACACGTGTGAGAGAGATCGGGAAAGGCCCATTGGCTGACACTTGACTGTCCAGAGACCCGGAAGAAAACCCAAGGGAACAGCAGAATGGGAGATTCTGTCAGCACGAACTTGGGGCTTTTGTCCCCAGCACAAAATGGAGGAAACAACAGGAAGGACTTCACTACTGGCATGGGCTGCCACCTGCAGGACTCTCCCCTAGGAGAGTTGCCCCTGGCCATCACCTGGCAGGGCTTTGTGGTGTGCAGAGGTGTGGGCCAGCAGTGGGCTCAGCACTTTGTCCAGCTTCCCCATTTAGAAAAATTGAGCCAAATGGTGATTCTCAGCCCTGGCCCAACATTTGGATCCCTGAGGGGCTTTGGAAAGGCCCCATGCTGAGCCGCCCAAGCCCTGGCCCTGGCCCTAGCCCCAGCCTGGCAACGTTCAGGGGATTGAATTCTGCAGCCGGTAGAAAGCCACCAAGTGGACAGTGTGGGCAGTGTCTTCTCAGCCCGTGAGATTCTATTCCGAGTTCCATGGCCACTTAGTCTTCCCCTCACTGACAGCAACTGCCTCAGGAAGACACGGCAAAGGGTTTGATTTGAGTGAGATCATCTCACCTGGTCTCTCAAGACCAGTGGGCTGTTCTTTCAGATCTTTTGGTGCCTCTTTCTCCGTCATGTTCATCAGATGTGCCCGGCGGCCTCATGTTAAAATGAATCCTGGGCAATTTGGAGGCTTTGCTGAAGAAAAGGACTATGTTAAGGCTTTTTGACTTGCACAGCAGTCCGGGGTAGATGCTCCTTACACGTGTGCTGCTGGGGCCTCCCTGACAGCCACGCTCCTGTCCCCTGTTCTGGTGGTTCGGAAGCGCATCTGCCACCGGGAGACCTGAGGGCTCAGCACACACTGAAGGGAGGGGTTTACCAACTTGGACTTCACCTCCTTTTGTGAGACGTGTGTTGGGCCCTGAAGAGAAAGGTGTGGCATGCCTCAAAGAAGAGGTGCTTCCTTACCTCAGTTCAGAGGTTCAGATGCTGACGTGCTGTGCGAATGGCCCTTCTGGGCACATGACGTGCAGGATTGCACTGTGTTCAGAGGCGGTAGGACCGGAAGCTGGCAGGGCCATGGGCCTATTTTGGAACCTGTTCCTGCCTTCTGGTGGCTGAGGGAAGACTTGAGGCTGCTTTTGTGGGTCTCTACTCTTTTGCAACTGGGTCACTTTCCCATCAGCATCTGCTAGAACTAGAAAGCTGATTGTTTCTCGGTATTCAGGATGAGTATTTTGAAATGAGAGGGTTTAACCTCCATGCTGCTGTTGGTATCTCTTCAGAGCACAAACACAAAGCACAATAGTTAACTAATTGCCAAAGCACCCCAGTGCCCCTGTTCTCGCCTGGGTTTAGCCTGATGCTTCACATCCAGCGCCGCCTGGCAGTCAACTGCCTGCCTACAGGGATTCGCTCATCTTGACATAGGGACCTCTCAAAGCCTGGGGGTTGGCGGAGAGGGCGGGGGGCGGGGGGGCGCTGGTTTGAGGGCTCAGAGCTAGGTCTTGCAATCTGTTGATTTTTGCCTCATCTATGCCCTGCTCAGCTGGTCCCAGGAAAGCTGAACTTTCCCAGGGCTGTAATCCCAGATCACAGGAAATAAGTAGGCTTTCAGATTTCTTGTCAGGAAGGGTAATCCTAGGAATTGGTGTCCACATGTAGCATGGCTAAGGAAATGGGGTGACCTCAGAACAGACCATGGAGTTCCTGCCCGGAAGGACACACTACGCATGGGACAATAGGGCTCTCTCCTAGCAGCGCAGGCCACGGTGTGCCTGAGACACAGAACTGCTCTTACCTCCAAGCCCATCCTGCCTTGTCCCTCCTCACACACCTATTATCAGTATTCGGCAAAACATCTTAAAATGGGGGTTCTTAGACCCCAAAGACTGCCTCTGATGGGCAGTAAATGTGACTGCTGCTCACTTTACAGAAGTGGAAACCTGGCTTGACCTGATAAGTAGGTTCTGGTTTTGAGTGGGTTGCAGAAGGTAGGTTGTTGGTTGGTTTCTTGGTTTCTTTTTGTTTTTCCTTCAGATGGTTTTGTGTGTGTGTGTGTGTGTAACATGAACCAAATGAAGCGCTGGAGCTGTTGCTTGGGGTTCTTTAATTCACCTGCATTTCCTCTCAGGCGGCTGGTTAGCAGAGGGGCAGTGTAGGAAGCACCAGGCTGTGAGCGACTAGGAAAGGGCTTCCCTTTTCTGCCCTGTCCTGTTCCATGAAAATAAAGGGCTGTTGTTCAAACCTGCCGATTTGGCGCCTTTCTGTGAACACTGAATTCACTTTATTTTGTGTTTTTGGAACTGATGTATTACAGTCAAACAACATAAACCCAGCTATTCACAGTCAAGGTGGAGTTTCCTCTGAAATTGCATGTCCCCAACAGATGGCAGAGCCAGGCCTGCTCTGGGGTGTCCTGCTTCTGTACCCCCAGTTGACTCAGACTATACATGTCCTTGGGTAGGAGGGGCTGGAAGCCCAAGTGAGGGGTAATTTAAGAACTTGACCCTCTCTGAGCAGGGTATAAACAAGCCCTGTGCTGGTGCTTCCTGGGACTAGTACAGAGGTTCCTGTCTGCCAAGTGCTTGGGGATCCCTGTGGTGGAGAGGAGCTTGCAGGGAAGACCTGTGTTGTGACAGCCCAGAGGCTGGTCTGTGCTGCCCCCGCCTGTCCAGCAGGCTGCATTTGGGCTCCTGTTCCTCCATGCGATGCTGGCTCCTGTGGACCTCCCACAGCCTGGAGGTGACACACACTCTCCCTCCACCACCTCTCACCTTGCCTTCCTCAGAAAGGGTCAGTGCCAGCTGCCATCAGAGCTCTCGCATCTAAGTGACTTTGGAACTCAGGCTGCAAAAATTGAAGCAGATTGGATCTGCAGTCAGGCCAGCAGTCTGCTCTCTGTGGCTCACCTGCTCCCCCAGGCTGTCAGGACGAACCTGCACCTCTTCTCCAGAACCCCCTGCAGACAGGTGGACAGCCATGTCAGGGAGCGGTGTGCCAAGGTGTATTTGTGAGAGGACCCCTTGCAGCCTGGGGAAACCGTGGCCAGTCTCTTCATCATGCTTTCCTGTTAGTCTTTAGCAAGCCTGGGTATGAAGAAATTTGAAATAGACCTCTATCGTGTGTGCCCATCTCTAGACTCTCAAGCACCCATTATGCAGACTGATCTAAAACATTCCCAAAGGCCTTCCAAGCCAGCCAGCACTGACGAGTCTGCCATCCTGTTGACAGATGTGCAGCCAGGAAGCTGAGTGTTAATACTCTGACCTCTGCCGGCACCCACTGTGTGCCGTGTTCTGACGGTGCCTGGTGTGCAGCCCCGGACGCCACCCCGGGGCCCTGCAGACGAAGGTAGAGGTGGCACTTCAGCGTCAGCAGCTACTGCAGAAGCCAACTTTGAACCCTCCCGGGACTTTACACGTAGAAAGGAAATTCCGAGAGTACCCGCCAAGGGCGCCATCAGGGGCCTCCCCTGGAATGCCCCCGCGGCCCCCAGCCCACCTGCAGGGGACTGGGCCTACACCAGAAGTCTCTGAATACTGTGTACGGGGTAGAACATATGTTACAAAGTGTAAAAATGTATTTTATAGCTACAGTGCTTAGTCTAACATGGTTTTGTACATATGATTTTTATAACTCTATTAAAATTTTGCCTTAAATTACTTTGTGTTCCTGGTGTGTTGTGTCCCAGCAGAACACGTCCTCTGTCGCCCCGCGGCGGCGGCACTGGGGGGTGATGGCCTCGCACCCTGAGTGCGCTTGTCATGGCTCACACAGGGGCTGCGGGGGAAGTGTTCCTTCTCACAGGCGCCTTTCCAGAGCCGGAGCCTCCTCTGTGCGTGGATTTTGCATGTCACATGCGGGGCCTGGAGCAGAAGAGGCCGGTGGGGCCGCCGCCCGGCTCCCCCTGACTTCTTGTATCCTGTCCCCACTGTCTCAGCGCCCCTCTGGTGCAGGTTTCCTTCACCGGCAGCTCACGCACTACCCAGAGGCCGTAGTTGCTCCACTCAATAGCCGCCAAGTTGAGGCCACAGGTACGGTGGCGTGCGGGAGCGCAGCTGGGGGAGCGCAGCTGGGGTGCCCCAGAGCGCCAGTGTGGGAGACGCTTAGGTGGCGCTAGAATATAAATGACACCCTAAAGAAAAGACCTACCCTTTCTTTTTATCACGTCATAAGCATCACACGACCCCGGAGAACACAGACATGGAATAAGCATGTTCAGAGTGATCCGGTTTGATTTAAAAAAAAAAAAACTTGATTTAAAAAAAAACCTCAGCGAGTGACTGAAATTGCGGGGCGAGGAAAGCGGTGCACTCCGAGCAGGGGAGGATTCGCCAACGCGGACTACGCAGACGGTGAGTTCCCTTGTTTTCAGCTTCACTTCTGGAATGTTATCCTCTTCCCAAGAGGCTTTCTAGTCATCGGGTTTATATTTATTAGTTTTGAGAATGAAAATAGTACATAATAAGCATCACAGAATACGCAGCCGCACAGGACTCAGCCTGAAGAGCAAAGACATGGTCAACCAGCAGTGCCAGTCGCGTGGAGGTGCCGAAGCCCGGTAGTTAGGACGGTTTGTTGCCCAAGAGGCCAAGTCTGGCTCTGCATTCCAGAGCCTTTTGTAGGTTCACTCCCCTCTGGAGTCTCTGGAAGCTTGGTTGCTCAGCGAGCGCATTCCCCACGGGCGTTGGTTTGAAGTAGGACGGGACTGAGGAGCCCCCTGCCTGCTCCAGGCGAGGCCCGCTTCATCTGACGTGTCGGGGTGGCATCCACCCACAGCTGACCCCGCCACTAAAATGGGGTCTTTCCCCAGTGAGCATGCCGGGGGAGGGTGGGTTGCCCCAAGGCATTCCCAAGGGACAGGCATGGGATGGGGTGGGAGGTGGGGGGAGTTGAGAAGGTGCCTCCTTGCGCTTTTCCCTCCTCTGTCACTTCCTGTTTGTGCTGGCTGCTGTGGTCCTGGCTGTTACATGAAGTGTAAGAAAGTTTGTCTCTGCACCCAGCACCCCACCGCCAACCGTGGTGCTCCTACCTCTTCTTCCAGGAGCCACTGTCACCCTGTCTCAGCCCAGCTCCTTCAAAAGCAGCCTGGGCTGCCTGAGGAAGCAGCCACTTCTATCTGAAACAGAGCGTCAGCCAGCCCAGCACAAGAAGGCCCATCCGCTTAGCAGCGTCCACTCTGAAGTGCCACTCGCACTTTAAGCAGGTGTTGGGAGACATGAGAGTAAGTGACTTCGTTACTGAATGAGGGTCCAGGCTGGGCAAATTCAGACCAGTCCCACACAGCCCCAGGCACCTGCTTCTACTCGGGCCTCCTGTCTGAGCGACAGGTGAGCAGGTGCGCCCCTCCACCTGCTAGAATGAACTGGGAGTCGAGGTGAACCACGGGCGGCTTCCTAATTAGTTCTCCACTGATCACAGGTCGAAAAGGACGTGCATGCACTTAGAATATCAGTGGAACCAAGAAGTGACATTTCAGCCCTGTGCTGGCAAAGCTGGGCAGTGTGAAGAAGAGCCAAGAGGGAAACAGCGGTAAGGAACCCCCTGCACTGCAGAGCTTGGGGTGCAGGGCCTGTGAGTGGTACCCATGAGGACGGAGGGGTCTGAGCTCAGGTGGGCCCAGCCTGGCCCAGTTTCAGTATGAACAGCATGTTGAGGACAGTGCTGGGCCACTTGGTTTCCGGTTATTTGTTGTAGCTCTCCCTGGGGCAAGTCCTCGGGCAGCCTAGGAAGCAGGGTGTCACCTCATCCCGCTTCCCTTATGAGCAAGACCTCAGTCGCCTAAGAGGAGGCTGTGGAGGCAGACTGGACTGAACACATGGCCCTCAGATATTTCTTGGAAACTGCTTTTTAAAATAACCTCCGACATAAGCTTGTTTTCATTTGCCTCTTTACCCAAGAAGCCAAGTTCAAAAATAGACCTGTTATTCTGGGTCCTCGTTAATCAAGGTGCTGCTGTGAGGCTGGAAAAAGCAGGCTCTGTTAGCTGTTTCTACCCTTTATTTACAGTTATTTCAATAGCTTTCAAAGTCATGGTCCTCTGCGATAGAGGTTTCCTAGATTATGCTGCAGTGCTCCAAGCCCATGCCTGACGGCCTGAGGCCCTTAAATGTGCTGTGCTCTGGAAACCTGGTGCCTCTACTTTGGGGTTGCCCCACAGCCATCAAGACTGAAGGGCTCAGCTGCTCCGCCCCTGCTGGGAGAGCCTGAAGGCCTGGTGCCTCCCCTCCAGGGCCCCGCCTGTCATACTCTAGAGGGCGCAGGCCCCAGGTGAGGTCTGAACCACCCCGGGAAGGCTTGGTTCACCCAGTCTTCACAAGATAAAAATATTCTGTTGGGGACTCGCCCTCTTTGTACAAACAGATCAGTGAAGTCCCAGCAACTCTGGGCTCTGTTTAAGTTGGCCTCTTCCCCCAGGAGTACTGCCACCCACCCAGGCCCTTGTCTGACCTCCAGAGAGCCTTGAGCCTGAGTGCTGAGCTCTTCCTGGTGACCTCAGAAACCAAGAGGAGGGCTGGGGGAGGTGCCCTTTGGGAGTCAGCATGTGGGCTTTCCCCCCACCCCCCTTCTTTTCAACAATCCTTCCTGCTCAGACCTATTCAGTGTGCTTTGCTAAGACCTAGAACGCAAGTGTGGCTTTAGCACAGGAGGTCTGAACTACACTCCTCCACATTTCAGCTTTGGGCAAGTCCAAGTCTGTCTCCGCCTCCTCCACCATAAAATGGGATACTAACATCCGCCTTGCAGGGATGTTTTGAGAATCAAGCCTGAGGGATGTTAGAAATTCCCTGGCACTTAGAAGGGACTCTTTAAATGTGGAGTTTATTTACGGAGAAGCGGAGAAGCGCTGCCTGTCCCTTCCCAGCCCGGCCCACCCGTTTGGAAAGCGGCTCTGCTTGGCCCATGTGGACCCTCCGTACCCCGGTGAGTGCCCTGGGAATGCTCCAGCATCTCCTTTGAACTTGGCGGTATCTAAATTTGGACTCGTAGCTTTAACATTAGCTGCTTGGCCAAGCCATGGTGTTTATTTTTTCTTAAGACCTTTTGGAGATTTCTCTCATCACAGAAAAGGTCTGAATCAGTGTCTCCTGGGATGGTATGCACAGGCCCAATCCTCCTCCCTGACCCATGCTCTGGAAATGTGGCTGTTTCCTCCTGTCCCATCGTCGGTGGGGGCTTTCAAAATGATTCTCCTCTTAGCCATCGTGATGGTGAGTTTGGGCTTTAGGGAGGAAGAGAGGGGCAAAGTGAGACAGGGAGAAGGATGCCAGGCTGCAGGGAGCCGGACTTGCTGCTTCCCCGGCGGGGCAGTGCTTTCCACCTCTGGGTGTGTGCTTAAGCTGCGTAACAGACCACATACATTTCCCATCCCCTCCCGCAGTCTAATAGCCATCCGGGTGCTGCACACCCCAGAGGATGGTGGGTCTTGTGGGCCCCTCCACCTGGACTGCTAGCTGTGGGAGGGAGGTTCTCAGAAGGGAGGCTTCCACGAGCTGGGTTTTGAACAGTAAGGGGATGAGAAAGAAGTAAAACTGACTTGTATCTTTCAAAAATAAAACCCAGGGCACCTGTTCCTCGGGAACCTTTATCTCTCGATGCTTCTGCTCAGCTCAGGTGCTCAGCTGTGTCATCTGCTTGACTCTGGGCGGATCTGAGAGCAGTGGCTGTGGGAGGAGAGGGCGCCCTGATCGCCCTCCTCTGCTTGCTGTCGGCTCTCCCAAACTGCTCTTTCCGCCATCACAGACAGAACCTGCAGCCAATATTTGATCAGAGGAAGGCATTTCTGCTCTCTAGTCCTAGAGATTCTATTTACAAACCATTTCTGTTTCTCCACAGCTCTTAGAAAGTCATTTCCATCTGCAGCCAGAGAAAGCTGGCTCTGGTGCTTGTGGTTGTTCTTTCCCTGAAGCACCTGCATGTGCTTTAGGACACATCACAGGCAACAGCCATGGGCACAGGTGGACAAAGCATATGCATGACCCCTGAGTGCCCACCCTCAATCTGAGACAGGCTGTTCTAGCATCACCACCTCCATTTTATCTTGCATCATTCCAGCAAGTAACACTTTGCAGGAGACTGGAGGGATTCGAAAAACAGGTATGATTACGTGGCAGGTGAGATGGCCGGTCCAAGCAGTGGACACTGACCAGGACAGATTTTCCTAAGTGTGCTCCCATCTCAGATACTCCTCCTTGGATTCAGAGGTGGAATCTGCGCCTTCTGGAGAACCTAGGTGAGTTTCTTGGCAGCAGCGCTGCACAGGGGCTTGGCGAGTCAGTCTGAAAGACCACCCACTTCCATCTGAGTGGGCGCCCTGCCTTTGGAAGCCAACGGTCACCTCCTCCTGTGAGGAGAGTAGGGCCACGTGGCCAAGCCCGCAAGGGTACACCCCCATTGTGTTACAGAGTCTTAAGTTGAGTAGACTGTCAGAGTTTTAAGCTGCCAGGATTTGGCTCTCATCACACAGCACCCTTTCCTTTCTGTGGGGTGTTCCCCGTTCAGCACCATCTTCTCTTCCCCCCTCAGTCACCTCCCAGACACTCCCTGGAAGCTCTGCCAGCAGAATAGGGAGCCTGGAGCTGTGTAAGGCTCTGTGTGTTCTCAGCTCTGAGTTTGCCTGGTGTCAGATTACAAGGAAGTTTCAGCTCTCCCAGGTCGACCCCTCCAAATTCTGTTTGTATTTTCCTACCAGGCCCCCCAAACTATGTAAGCTGCCCAGTACTTGCTTCTTGCCTCTTGCAGATGGGAAGCCAGTTCTCCCTGCAGGCCCACGAGGGCATAGCAGTAGATACCGGTAACAGGACGGAGTAGAGCCCGTGCAAGAGCTTAGTGCTGGGAGGCGCCATCTGACAAACGTAACGGAAGACGGCCATGTCCACACAGGGCTGGGTATTTTCACAGACAGGTCTCCCCGGTAGCTGAAGGTAGAATGTTTTAAGTCACAGGCTCTATTTTAGGTTAGGAAACACTAACAGCATTCATTTATTTAAAAAAAAAAAAACACACACGCACACACACACATTTTGAGTGTTCCCAGACTCAAAACATAACCTACCAAATCAGAACTTTGTTCTGGAAAAACTGAATGCCATCAGTTTCTCAGTCAGCACCTGCAATACCTATGCACGCCCTCTATCAACCACCCTGACCTACTTGCTATTCACATCACAAGTCACCTTTCACTTCCTTCTTGGGATAACTTCTGGCAGTGTTTTTCCCTGCTGCAGTTTACAGCAGCCAGCCTGGCCACAACCTACAGACACGTGACTTGCATCTGACCTGGCGCAAACAAGTCCCAGGTAAGTGGTGGCCTTCCAGAACTTTTCTCAGACCTCTGCATAAGTCCCTAAGGAGTAGAATGCCACAGAAAGCAACCCTTTCTGAGTGTGGGGTAGATAGTCTAGGTAGAAGGGGGAAAAGCCTGCTTCCCTGTTGAGGGGAGACCCCAATTATGGGTCTTGGAAGCCACGTTTGCAAGAACAGGGCCTGAGCTCCAGCCATAACATAGGGACACTAGCACACTGTGTCCCACCGTCCTCTGCTGGGGCCACAGGTCACACTCTGAGGCTGTGGCCAGGCCCAGACCCTTTCCTTCTGACCCGCCGGGGGGCATCCTTGGTCACAGTCATTGTCCCGGGAAATACGTGCACTGGACCACGGTGCCTATACTGTGCTAATTCTCTTCTGCCTCCCAGCGACAGGGGGACGAGTCCATTCTGGACAGTTTGCGAGTGCTCAGCTTCTTCCTTAAGGAGGAGAACTTGTCCCCAAGGACCTTGCGTAGCCCTGTACCGTCCCCGTCTCTGCCACAGGGCACTTCCTGCCTGGCGACCGGGAGCTGGCCTGTGAACATTTCCCACCGACTAAGGCCGTCCACAGCCTGGTCCACCCGCGCCAGCTCCTCCTCAGTCACCTCCTTCTCTAGGGCCTGGATGCACATGGCCAGCCACCGTCTGTGCTCCTCGATGGCCTCTGCGGGGGTTCCCAGTGGCAGCGGGCCCTGGGGGGCTGCCAGGGAGCTCAGCCCATCCTCGTCCTCGGGGTCCAGCTCGGCATCTGGAGTGAGGGGCTCCGACAGGCTGGTGCCGGGCTCCGAATCGCTCTCGCAGCACAGGCCCGAGTCTGCGCTGCGGGGCAGGGTGTCCTCCGACAGGGACGGCTCCGGGCCGGGCCGCGGCCCCGCCGCCACTCGAGTCCAGGCGTGCAGTCGCTAGGAGGAAAGAAAGCCAGGTGTTCTCTAGGCGGTCGTGTGCCTCGGACTTCAGGTACGTAGGTGAACCCAGCCCTGGAAGGCGGCCCCCACAGCGCCCAGCCACTCAGGCTTGTCCTGGTAAAGTCTCAGTCAAAGCCAGTCAGCCAGCCCATCAAGCCTGGGGATAATATCCAAAACTCCTTATTTTTACTCAGTTTTTCTCTGCTCCCATTCTTCACATCACCAGCATGGTCTCGCTGTGTAACGGTGACTCCCACGTGCCCCGCTCCACCTCAGAGATGGCAGCTGGAGGGGAGAGGGTTACACTGGGCATTGGCAGGTACTACGCTCACGGTTTCTGGCTTTTGCCAGCTCCCAGCTGAGGGTCTGGTATAGACAGCAGCAACTGCTGCCACCAGAGGGCAGAGCCCCATCTTCATGGCACCCCGTCCACACAGCCACGTAAGGTGAGGTGCACAATGCAACGCCTCTGCTTGGGGCTGGCGTGTCCCCCTGCCCACCTCAGAGCCCCTGTGCTTCCACACTGACACTCACTGGGACCGGGGAGGGTGACCCCATTAGCCTACTGCATGGAAGAGGAACCACTCTGCTCAGACCCAGAAAAGCCCAGGCCAACTGAGCAGGGCAGGAGCTGGGGGAGATGCATTTCCTGTCCAGGGGTGTGTAAGGGGGGGCACAAACGGAATAACGGTTCCCGTCAGGTGAAGCAGGCCCCTAGTGAGAAACCCCAGGCCTCGCCTCCCTTCTCTGTCCAGGGAAGTAGAGCTGCTTACCACAGTTTGACTGTGGAGCCTTGGGGCGCCTTAACTACCCCTCACAGGGCCCTCCCTAGCGCCCCTGCAGGTGAGACCTGGCGCAGGCACCACGCCAACCAGGCTGCTGTCTCCTCTCCACACAAGTCCAGTCCGTTTGTTTACAAGAGCCGTGCAGGGAGGCAGCATCTAGGGGGACGCCCCGACCTCTCGTGCAGGGGGGCCGCAAAGTGGGGTCACCGGCTGGCAGCAGCGCCTGGGAGACCGCTAGAAATGCTCACTCTTCACCAGCCCCAGGGTGCCGAGGCAGAAACTCCCTCCCAGTTAGAGTCCACCAGAACCAGGATCACCACCAGGGCCGGCCGCTTCGGACTGCCGCCCCCAAAGGAGGGGTCTCCCAGAGTCCAGACAGCCAGGCTCATTTCAAGCATCTGGCCGAAAACTCTTCTGGTTTTAAAATTAAGCCAAAGCTATTTGGTTTGTAGGCCTTAGGCCTTTTACTGGAACGAAAACTTTAATTCCGTGTTTTCATCCAGCAGTGGGTTTGATCTCTGAACTCAGAGTTGAGTGAGTTTGCAAACAGATGATCCCCTGGAATAAGGCTCTTCCCTGCCAGGGAGCAGTGCGCAGGGGAGGACGCCTCTGCCCTGGGCTCTCCCGGCAGTGCCAGCTGCTCCCAGCAGAGGGCAGCACTTGGGCCTGCCTTTCCTCAGCGAGCCTTGTTTAGCCTGGTTCCGCCTCCCGAAGGCTGCGCGGAACATGAAAGTTGGGGCGCGCTCGCTGGGAGGTCACAGCAGGACAGCCGCAATGTGGGGCTGCAGGGGAGCCCCCTATACCATGCAAGATCGAGCAGGAACAAGCGCACAGGCAGGGCCCAGTGGGGACAGTCAGGGCGTGGGCGTCTGCAGGCTAACTTAGAGCCGAACTCGAGGGCAGGGGGAGCCGGATCCCCATGCTGCTCAGAACCCAGGTGCTCACAAATACACACCAATGTCTCCCTCTGCTCCCCGGTGTAGCGTAGGGCAGGCGGGTCAGCGACCACTGTGGCGCTCAGGCCTGCAGTGGGGCTTCTCCAGCGTGCACTCACCTTGTACCTGTCTACGAGCCTGAAGCCCAAGACGTGCTGCAGCTTCCGCAGGCAGATGGGGCAGAGGTCCAGGGGGCGCCACAGGGCCTCATCCAGGCTGAGTGCCCCCTGCATGAGACAGCGGAGCCAGCGGCAGTTGCCCAGGCCGAGCAGGTGGCAGAGCTCATGGCACACAATCTGAGGAAGGGAGGTGACCACCTTTGCAGCTGTGACCCTGTCACCCAGCCGGTCCCCAGGGCAGCCCCGCCGGGAGCCTGAGCGCCCTGGCTGAGGCCTGTTCCTGGGAAGTGGCCCAAGCACCCCTCCAGCCCCACCCCTGAGTGTACAGGGTGACAACTGACTTCTCTGGGCCACAGGAGAAAGGGAAGCAGGCATGGTCAGCTCCGGGGAGACCTGGAGTGGGACCTTGGGTGTACTAAGACAGGTTCAAATCCTACCCCTGTGTGACCTAACGTCTCTGAGCCTCAGCTTCTCCAAGTGAAGGGGCATCCTCCTCGTTGTGCAAACTGGACAGTAACTAGGTGAGCGCAGGGGGATCAACTGCTGACCACTCCATCCTTAGTTTCTCCCCAGACCCCCCAAACTTCTACCCACTCCCCATCACCCTCCCCTTCTTGCACCCCAAGCCTTGGCCTCCATGCCCACCTTGCAGCACTGGGCCAGCCCCAGGGTGTTGAAGCGCAGGGTCCAGCCTCTGTCCTGCAGGGATTTCTCAGGGTCGCTGGCTGCCACCTCTGTCAGGGCCGGATCAGAGGCGCTGGGCCCCGCCTGCAGGAACTCCCCCACAAACCGGGCAAAGCTACAGACGCCCACTTCTGGGGAAAGGCAGAGGGAAGGGGACTCAGGGGCGCCCTAGGGCAGACCACCCCATCCTCAGAACCCAAAGGACCTGCCTGCCAGCATGTCCACAGGAAGACAGCCCAGGGGCAGAAGCTAGAGGAACACCCTTGCCAGGAGAAGCTGGGACATAGGGCCTGGAGCGTGTGTGGCTGTGCCAGTAGAGGAGTGGGGGGCAGCAGTCTTGGAGGAAGAGCAAGGAGGGTGGGTGTTCACTCGTGAACAGTGCACCTGTGCTGAGCACACCCACTGCCCCCTCCACAGCAACTGTGTGACACGGGGCCTGGCTCACCGTGCCCTGGAAGGAACATGCCGAAGGTGAAGCTCCAGGCTTCGCACGGATACAGGTCAGACAGCGTCAGGCCCAGCACACACAAGGCATCGCCCGGCTTGCTGCTCTTCAAGAAAGACAGGATGCCGTCTGCGGAGAGAGGGCCAGCACTCAGAGAGAGGGGAAGCGGGCCCTTCCAGCCCCTCCCAAAGTCCAACCGAGAACACTTTCGTCTGAGGCTAAGAGCTCAAACCACCAAGCTGTGCAATGTGGGGCCACAGGCCTGGGTCCCAGCACCAGGCAGTCCAGGTCACCTGGGCCAAGAAGCTCTCAGGGTCTCCATTTCCTGAGCTGTCAGGAAAACTGACTTGACAAGGCAGGACCGAGATGCCTGTCCATGCGATGGGAGTTCTCAAAAGGCAGCTGGGCTGGCCAGCGCTGGGGAAGCGGTGTTGCAGCCATGGGGTGGCCAGAGCCACCGTGCCCTAGCCCAGGGCTCACTGCGCTCTCCAAGGGGGAGGGGACTCTGCATCATCCAGGTGGACCTGGGATCATCCCGAAGTCTCGGCACAGCGGCCAGGGAGAGCTGACGAGTCTCTGCTGCTGCCTGCAGGTGGGATGGGCCACACGATGCAGAGTCCGGGCTCCTCTAGAAGCTGGAAATGCAGACTCCAGGGAGACGCCTGACGCCCGAGAGGAGCAGATATGCCTCAGCCACTAAGTACCTCACAGTGATTCATTATAGCAAAGGAAACCAGGAGCCTGGGCATAGAGACAGGGAGAGGAAAGGTCCAGGGCGGGACCCAGGATAAGGCCTCATGAATTCAGGGAACATGGGGGGCCCAAAGGGGGAGCAGCCCACAAGTTCCAAGTCTAAAGGAGCAGCGATGCGCGATGCGCGATGCGGAGGGCGAGGGCACACAGGGACAGAGCTGGGAGCAGGGCATGGCAGAGGGCCTGGGGAAGACCAGGGGTTCCTGAACTGGGGTGCAGAGGGACAGGCAGTGGAGAAAACTGTGCAACTTGCACTTCGGTGGTGGGTGAGCACTGGAAAGTAGGAGGTGTGAACCCCTCCCCTGGCCTTCATGGTAGACAGGGGCCGAGTTACCAGATGCAGGCAGGCAGGGGAGGAGGGGGAGAGCAGCCTGGCTGTGGGGGCTCAGCTGGGGATGACAAGATTTCACTCTAGTTCCTTCAGACAGAATGTGGCCCACCCGCACCTTGGTCCCACACTTCTGACCTCCAAAACTGAAAAAAAATAACTTCCGTTTGTAAGTCCCCCAAGTTCTGTGGTACTGTTACAACAGCCCAGGAAACCAATTCAGTAATCTACTGCAAGCTGCCCCGACCACAAGACTTCGAGCCACACTTGCCGTGGGTTCTACCAGCCTCTTGAACCTCCCTGAGGCTACCTGTCCCCCTCAGGTGTGGGGCCAGGAACAGAGCGGGCTCAATAAGCAGCAAAGGTGCAGAAGCGATACCTGTACCCCAGGCACCTCCAAGCCACACTCCAGCCCCCAGGCAGCTGGGATGGACACAGCCTCCTCCCAAGTTTCTCCCAAGTTTCAAGCGGAGGCAGAGCATGGTGGGGATGGAGGGCCGGGCCCTGGCCCACCACAGGATGGGTCTCAGAATGGCCATGGCTGAAGTCTGGCAGTGGAAACAGACCTCCAGTGGGATGGCACCCTGCGTACCAGCAGGCCCCTGTCAAACCTGAAGATGCAACACCAGCTGCTCCCTGTGCCCTAAATGCCCTACGCACCAGGAAGCAGAGCCCAACCCTGCCGCTGGAAGTCAATAAAGGCCAAGTGAGAATCAAAGAACAGCTCCTGCACTCGTGACAGTGCGGGCGGGCGGGGGCAGCCTGAGAGGCCTGCAGACTCTCCTGGAGCCCTGGGGCCTGAGACGATCACACCTTTGTCCCAAGCAGCACCCCCAGCAAAGAAGAAATAAAATCCTCCAAAGAAAAATCACATCATCCCAGGCCACAGAAGATAAGTTTTCAAATAAGCTGTCCGGCTCGTGTGCAGCTAGCGATCAACAGTTAAGACTCGAGGCAAGACAGCCCCGACACACTAAGCCGCGGGGGCAGGAGCAGGCTGTCAGCGAGCTGTGGTCGCCGCTGCGGACGCTAAACTCAAATGTTATCAGGGACCTGGGAACCACAAAAACTGGTCCTCTGAAAAAGAATCCACTAGAAACTGAAAGATGTGATAAGTAAAATTAGGAGCCTGGGCTATGGGCTTGATCAGATATGCTAGGCAGTTAAAGAGAATGAGTCAGCTGTAGGATGAGAAGAAATCATGGCGGGGAAGGTAGGAAAAGGGATCTGCGTCGGCCAGACACGGGCACTTGCCCCATGAAGTCTCACAACTGATGAAGATCAGCCCAGTCATTCCAGATCCAACATGGGCCAGAAACAGCCCGGCCCTAAGCTTGCCCGGGGTCTCTGACTCATCTGAGCGCCCCCAACTCATCTGTCTGCCAGCACTCTCTCCAGCTGCCAGTGGCCCCCTGGGGTGCTGGCACAGGAAGGGGCCTCCCAGACACGGAGGCCCTGCCAGGTTGGCTCCCTGCTCTACATGCCCTGGGGCCTCCTGTGGACCCTGGGCTGGAAGGTCAAGGGACCTGATGTTCACCTTACAGGAGACTAGGAGTAAATGTTTCACAGACAAGCGCCGCACAGGATCCTTCCTTCTCCTGGGCCCCCTTCCTCTTCCTTCTGGAAAGGGCCTCGTACTAAGGGGTGGAGGCCCAAGTCTGCGTCGGCCGGGCCCTGCTGGCCACTCTACTCACCTGCCTGGAGCTGGAGCCTGTCCACATCCTGACGGGGGCGAGAGCAGCAGCGGATGGATGCGGCCGCCACCGAGGGCAGACACTTGACCTGCAGGCCCAGGAAGAAGGCCTCCGCGCAGCTCTGCAGCTGGGCCAGGAGAGCGTCTGCCGGCCCCTCGCTCAGATCTGGGGGCAGAGCAGACCGTCAGCCCTGACTCCTGGAGCCCCTGCCAGCCTGTGCCCAGCGCCTGGAAGCCCGTCCAACACCAGACACCCTTGGTCGTGGTTCCAAGGGCCGAGGGGGCAGAGGTCATGTTGAGACATGAAGCACATCTCTCTTAAAGGCCAAAACCAAGGTGGAGGCAGGGCTGGAAGACCGGTGCCAGGTGAAGGACAGTCATCACCGTGGCAGGGGGCTGGCCTGCTGGGTGGGGAGTTCAGGAGAGGGTCCGCTGCCAGCCCCCTCCATCCCTAAGGATAGCGGAGGCAGGAGCTGGGGTCAGGGCCGCTGCTGGGCTCCCCGCACCCTCACGCAAAGGTGCCCGGCGGGGCGGGGCTTCCTGCAACTACAGAGCCAGCCTAGGACAGTGAGGCTGCAGGCACCATGGCAGGGAGCACAGACAGGCCACAATTTAGGGGGACGAGGATGGGGGCCCGGAGAGAAAGGCCAGCAGCATCAGCCTTGCCGAGGAGCTGCTAAAAATGCAGATGCCCCAAAAGCAGCATCTGAACAAGGAGCCCCAAAAACTGCAGGCTAGAGTTTGAGGGGTGCCACTCTGGGCTGTTGGCAGAACATGGAGTAATACGGGTGGTTTGCAAGGTCAGAATCTATGGATGGGGATGCCCACATACCCTGGCTCCCTAACACCTGGCTGGCAGGTCTCCAGAGAATCCACCTGGGGACCTCAGCCACTCAGGAGGAAGGAGCTGGATCTGCTGAATCCCTGCCATGCCCAGCCAGTGCCTCCCAATGTGAGCCAGCTCTGCCTCTGGTGGGTGGGCGACCCCAGACTGCTCTCTGAGGCCAGCTGACCGCAGCCTCAGGACGGTACACCACACCAGAGTGTCTTTTAAAGAGGAGCACACAGCACTGCCAAGAAGTCTGGGACCCCAGCTTTCCTAAACAATGTCCCAGATAAAGTGGAGATGTTGGAGCCCCAGGGGGCCTCCCCTGCCCCACCCTTGGGTCCCAAACGTATCAGCACTGTCCTCCTTGGGCTCAGGCACAGACACCCCCACCTTGTGCTAGATCAAGGCTCTTCCCTCTTGGGGGCCTGGTGGTCAGGATGCCCCATCCAGCTCATCTCCCACTTGCTGACCCCATGGGGCCCACACCCGCACCCAGTACCTATGGGCTGCAGGTAGATGTGTTTCCGGGCCTGGCTGTGCTTCCTGGGCAGCAGGGCTGCATGGAAGGTCTGGAAGTCCTCAGGAGCCTCGGGGCGGCTAAGGAGCCAGTCGAAGGCGGTGCGGATGAGCAGGGTGCAGAAGAGCGTCCTCTGGGGGTTGTAGGCCTCAGCTAGGAAAAGCCTCTCAGCAGGAGTGAACGTGGACACGTAGAGCTGCTGCAGGGCCGTGTCAGTGGACACCAGTGCGTCCTTTAGGGCCCGGGGGCCGAAGCTGAACTCCTGGGCCGGCCTGCACTGCAGCATGGCGGGCGGGCAGGTGAGGACTCAGGGGAGGCCCCCAGGCCTGGCCACATCCAAGAGCCCCTGCTGCTGCCCATGAACCACACAAGGATGGCCACCGTCTCTTCCAGAACTTTCCCTAGGTCTGAGTGGAGAGGCTGCTGAGGGCTCCCCACAGACAGATGCACCCAGCACTGGGCTTCCTTGGCAACGGCAGGGAGCAGGATGGCCGCTGGACACCCTGCAGGTGGGGACGTGCACCAGTGAGCCTGGCAGGCAGGGACAGCAGGAGGCAGTGCCACCCAGACCTGGGAAGGATCTGGGGTGGGGGTGCACAAAAGTCAACAGCTCCCTTGGTGCCCCCCAGTTTTGCAATCCTAAAAAGGAGCACACAGGCCGGTGAGGATTGCAGCCCCATCAGACTGCCCAAGCCCTTAGCTGGGGCATGCCAAGGGAGGCCACTCCCTTTGTGCTGAACCCCAGAAAAGCCACTAGCCGCTGCATCTCCTCGGGATCACCTGTCACCTGGGGCCTGCAGTACCTTCCAATCCCAGCCCCCAGCTTCTCCTGGCAGAGGCTCTGTGTGCCCCAGGATGGGGGTCCCATCCCCAAGGCCAGGCCAGCTGAGGAGGGAGAGAAAGGCAGCCCTGGCAGTGCCCGGACCCAGGATCTTCCCAGCCCAAGCCGACCCAGTGCCAATCCCTGAAATCTCCGAACAGGGAGCAGTAGAAGCAACAGAGAGGCTTTAACTGCTGCAAGGCCAGAGGGGAAAAGAGGGACGGAGGGGGGCGGGGCAGTGACAAAGTCACTTTATAAACAGGATTTTTCCTTCCCCGTTGGGATCAACAGCTGGTGTATCATGGATTAATCAGAATCAACGTCCCCACGCACATCCAGATCCCGAAAAGCACCAACAAGTGACCGCTGCCGTCACAGGCCCGCTGAGCCCAGAGACACATGCTGGGGCGCACAGAACTAAGATGGGGAGGTGGAGAGGAGAGACAAGTAGAGAAAAGAAAATAAACAAATAGCAGTGGAGAGCAGCAAGGGGGAGGGAGCCAAGGAGAGACGAGAACAGCACTGCACTGATTCCTAACTTAGCAACTTAAGCCAGAAACGCTTCGCTGCAGAAGGCCAACTGTGAGGCTCCAGCCCCGGCTGGACAAACAGCAATGGACCTTGATTCTGAGAAGGTGTAAAATTTGGTAATTTGTCTAAAAAATCAATTTAGAAGGACAGACTCATATGCATGTGTGTGAATAAACGTATGATGTATAACCACAAGTGCGTGTACTGGAAATTTCAGCATATATGATTTATAAAGTTTTCTCTGGAAAATTAATGTGCATATGACTTCTCCAGAGGATATCAGCTCCCTATAGATCTATATAGATACCATTTTCTTTCCAGAGTCAAGTGCTGGCTCAGACGAGGGGAGGGCCACCCAGGCCCCTCCAGAGTTTGAGGTAGCATAAGGAATCTTGATTTGCATGGGAAAACTGCTTTCTAAGACTGTGCCAAGTCACCCCTGCCAGCTCTGGAAACTAAGTCAGCACTGGACCCTTACTGTTCCACATGGGACATCCTGCAGGGGTGGGTATTAGCTCCATTTTCCAGAGGGTGAAACAGACAATGACTTTAAAACCCACTGAACCAAAGCGCCACAGCTTGTGAGTCGGCAGTAGACTGGAACTCCGCCTTCTCAGTCACCACAAGAGCCATCACCAGCACAGCCTGGCCCTGCCCTCTCAGGAGCCCTGTGGAGCCCCTGTGCACCCCCAGGCTCGGCAGTATGGACAGCTCACACTGGGACCACCACCCATATCCCCACCCTGCTGTACACACACACAAAAACCAGCTGTGCAGACACTGAGGACAGATGGGGCAAGGCCACAGGGAGAGTTGTCCTGGGGCCCCAAGGACCCAAGAGACACCATGGGCACTTCCACAGGTGGCGGGGGGGGGGCCCTGCAGCGGGGTTATTTGGGTCCCTTCGCACACTCATTCAGCAGATAGCCGTCAAGTGCCTGGTCACCGTGAGCAAAACAGGTCCCTGGCCTCATGCAGCTTAAATTCACAAGACAAGAAGTAATTGTCTCTTTTGTGGGGGTGGAGCAGGGAATGGGATCAAAAACTGGGGGGGGGGGGGTGGGGGAGGGAAGTGCACGGGACTATGGTGATGGCACACGGATGGCTCGGTGATGGGAAATCCACGGGGATCACAATTGAAATTTAAAAAATGTACAAAATGATGTAAAAATAAACTTATATTATTAAAAAAAAAGTAAATGTCTCGAGTTAAGAGCTGATTAGCTATAAAGAAAAGGCAGAGTGGGGTGAGGTCGGTGTGCAGGGCATTCGCAAGAGGGTGCCCAGAGGGTGCTCCCCTGGGAGGACAGGGCTGGGCAGACTGGAGGGAAATAGGGCAGAGGGCCGCAGGGCAGGAGAGTCCAAGAAGGGGACATGCAAAGGCCCCGGCGCACACGCCATGGGCTCGGGCAGGCTGGCTGGAGCGGAGGCGGCAGGCACAGCACGCGACACTGGGAAGGCCGCTCTGGGGCTCCGGCCTGCACCTAGTGTTGAGCGGCATGGACGGGGGGGGGGGGGGGGCGAGCTGTGAGTTAGTTTGGGTGCTAGTGCAAGGCAGGCTTTGAAGCCTGCTACTGCCCAGCTGTGACCGCTTCCCCACTTGAGCTAGGAGGATCCCCGTAGCACCCGTGGCCCCCCAGGGCTGTGGGGCTTGATCAGAACAGCAGAGCGTCGAGCGCAGAGCTGAGGTCTGTGCAGGTTAGCAGTGTCCTGCAGCGGGGTTTGGGGCAGCGGGCAGTCCCAGTGGCAGCAGGGAGCCCCATTCAGCAAACAAATGTGTCTGACATTCGTTACAAAACCTTGAAAACTGAAACACCTCATCTTACCAGACGTCCACAGGCCTGACACTTCTGTCCCCTACTGACTTGGATCAAACTGTAAACCTCAGGCTCATTTCAGTGCTTTGGACACAGCCAGGTCCCAGGACATCGGGAAGGGCCACAGCAGGCGAGTTCTGCAGGGGCCCGAAGGTGAGCAAGAAGGACCTTGTGAGCACAGGGCCTCCAAGTGAAGGCTGGACACACACTGGCCCCAGGCAGGCTGGTGGGTGCACCTCCACAGGGCCGCTCCCGAGCCTCAGTCTCAGGCCCTTCTGCACGTCCACAAAACCACTGACCCAGTCCCGAAGACACCCAAGAGACGGGGCTGACAGGTTATTTCTCAGCGTCACTGTCTGAACTCAAAGCCAAAGTTCTACTTGGGAAGCATAAGGACACAAGCCTCCATCAGCATCACACACACCATGTGGCCTCTGAAGAGCCCCCAGTAGGACTGCAGTGGAGAGGGCAGATACTAACTCGCGTCACTGTAAAAATAGCTGGGCCCGCCTGAGTCCCCTGCAGCCTGTGGAACACTCTGAGAACTGTGTTCCCTGTGTGAATCCTCCTCCCGGTATGGCTATTCATGCTCACAGTGGGTGGTGAGCACACACCATGTGGGAAATCAGTTAGAGGAAGCCCCACAACCACCTGCCCTGAGCAGGCCTCAGCCTGTCAGCCACCTCAAAAGCCCAGAGGGTGGAGGTGGGGGCTGGCACAGGCTGGCAGGTCAACAGGATGGGAGGGTCCAGGTTGGACAAGAGGGTACTGAAGTCCCTCTGTCCTTCCACAAAGGTCCTCCTCTCTGGGGTCCTGGACACGGATGTCCACTCCTATCCTCTCAAATAGCCTGTGGAGCCCCATCTTCCTGGGTTATTAAAGAGAACCCCCGCTGGCCCTCCCATCCTGCTAGATTATTTCTGCATACATCTATTTCACATGCAGAACCAGAACTGGACTGGGGCAGAGGTGAAACTGTGTCCCAGCAGGGCAGAAAGTCGAGGACTGGGAGATGGAGTGGCAGGTTAGGGGGCCATGGGAGGGCACACAGATAGAGCAAGGGCCTCTCTGCTACCTGCCTATCCATTAATCTTGCCAATGAGGAATGCTCCAGAAGGGAAACCTCCTGAACAGGGTTCCTTGGACTGGGCCGCCCCTGCCCCACACCCCACTACGGGACCTGACACTCTGCGATCTTCTGATTAAGCCCCACAGCCTCGTGGGACCACAGGTGCTGCTAGATCCTCCTAGCTCAAGTGGAGAAACGGTCACAGCTGGGCGGTAGCAGGCTTCAAAGCCTGCCTCACACTAGAACCCAAACTAACTCTCCATGCCCGTGGGGTAGCAGCAGCAGAGGCGGGCGTTGCCTCTCCCAGGGCAGTGATGTCTCCATCCCACACTCTCTCCTAGCCCGTTTTGCCCAAAGGCTGGGAAAGCACATGTCCAGGTGGAGGCCATGTCCTCCTGCAGGGACGGGCCAGCTGCAGCACCCAAGGGCAGGCTGTTCCGAACTGCAAGTCCTGGGCACTGGTTCCCCATCTGACTAGACAGATGCCCCAGCCTCTGGGCAGCACACCACACTGATTCTCCTTATTCTGAATACGCTCTGCAAAACCTCCCAGCAGCTGCGTCAAGCTAGTCATTATTTGTCAGCCCTAACCTTCTTTGAGCAGCACCATGCAGAGGGGGATGCAAAGGGTTTGGGGTTTCGCACTTCTCAGAAGGTTTCCATTTGCTAGGAGGGGAAATCCAGGGCTGGACCACTGGGGTGAAGGTCTCTGTGCCAGACCCCTGCTTCCCCTGGGTCTATGTAGCTGCCTGCAAGCGAATGGGAAATGCCACTCCGGACACTTTCCTTCAGAAGAGCCATATCCCTCCGCCTCCGACCCAAGCTGCACTTTAAAGCGTGGTGTCTCTGTAACGCCACCCGATATTTTGGTCAAAGCCAGATGCCTGATTTTGCTGGTGCTGTAGACTTAATTGAGCCTCTTCCATCAATACCTGCCTCACTGAGGTCAGACGGACAGGTGCAGGGAAGCAGAGCTGAGCCTGGTCCCAGAGGCAGGGGCTGCCTCTTTGCTGGCCTCTCCCTAGACTTTCCCACTCCCTCTACCCCTACTCGAGCGCGGCAAGAGGCGCTCAGGTCGCCCTCCCCGAGGCCCTAGCCCTGTGCCTACCAGGGCTCCCCGGCCTCTCCGGGTCTCCCCTCTGAGGGGCCCCGACCTGGGCACAGAGCGAGCCTGGGCACACCCTCCGCGGTGGTCGGCCCCTCACCTCTGCCCGGCTCCCTCGGGGCACTCGCGCAGGGCCCGCCCACCGCCGTCCAGGCGTCCGCAGGGCTCGGCGCCCGCGTGGCACAGTGGACGGGCGCCGAGGGC